ACATTGTTAATGCTATTCTCACTTTCCATATGAACAAACAGCATAGCGAATAAATACGAAACCAACTCATGCTAACAAACACTAACTGATGTGTAAAAAAAAGTTTATGTAAATGAATCGCCAAGGTTTAACAGCATGCATTTCTAGGACAACGTAGTTCAAACTTCTACACGAAACAATTAGAAAATATCACTAGTATATATATACACCAGTTCACACCCGCTGTAGAGCACTAGTTTTGCAAAATATCAGAAGCTCGTTAAATCGCGGGTACTGCAAACTACGCCTGAACAGGAACTTTAGGCGAATTTCCTGATCAGGAAATTACTTACTGATTAAGTATATTTGCAGACTATAATAAAGATGTTTTATATAATTCCCTGGAAGACCGCAGAGAGCCGCAGGAAGACTCGCCAAGCTAAGAGACGTGACTAAGGTAGTTCCATGCAGACACGTACAGTAACTTGTCATAAACGAGAAAAAAACAGCCATCACATACCAGCTCAATATGGATATCCGTAAATCCGTTTGTAAAGAAACCAGGCAGCAATAATTAGTGGCAGTAATTCTCAGGAGCAGCAGTCAGTATGATCAATAATACCAATACAGGAAAATCAAAGTACCAGTATATTACTTAACATAATGTTCAGTACAGACCTAAGCCAACGCAGCAGTGTATTAAAGTGAACAAAAACCAATAGGATACCAATCTTTGAATCTAGAAGTGAAAGCAATGGGAATGCTACTAGACAAAGTTCTAACTTAGATCTTGGATTATGCCTTGCGGGTTAGACCGTTAAACAACAAAAATATATTTCCATTAAAAATATACAACGTAGAATGAAGTTAATCCCAGGTATTACACAAAAATATTATTATAAACACAAACTCCTTCCTCACGAAGGCAGAGGAATGCCTGAAGGACAAATGAATGACGGACCAAAGATTGTTTACATAAACGTGGCGTTCAAACGAGAACTCTTAATTAACAACGAAATAAAACAGGACAACTTTGATTTGGCATGTTACAGTAAACTGTTTCCACGGTGAATATTATACCCGGTAAACCATACTGGCTGGCTAGTTTACTAACTCACACGGACATTTATATTGAAGATTTTAAACAATGATATAGAATCCAAGTACATTAACGTTTTAGGGGGGTAGAAATAGCCTAAGCTACTCTATCCCTTTGAGATGTATTTCTTGCTTATCTCAATAAACATACTTGAACTTGAACATTAACGTTTGTTATTTTATAAACAAAAACTAACAATAAACCGAAGAACGAAATTCTCAATTATAATTTTATGGTGTCGCCAGCACTGGTTTATTTACGGGTATATGGAAGAGCATGTAACTGCTGCTAGCGCAACCCGTCCTCTTAAAAATAACGTGGCTTTTCGCTGGTATGCGCGCTATGGCCAAAAGTGAACGTAATTTAAAATAAAATCGACTCACAAAAGTGACGTACTGTCCCGTTTCCTGTTTGAGTCGTCCGGCGTACTCGGAAAGGTTTGGAGAGGAAACTGTCAACTAACATTTTTCATAAACATTTGACAACTTTATGAGAATTTCCTGCCCACCTAACCTACCCTTAACTTACTGTTGTTGAAAAAAAAATTCCCAAATTTATTTTCATTTTCAAATTACGTCCACTTTCAAAAGCCAAAAGCGACGTTATTTTTAAGAGGATAGGTGTGCCTTAATGGACAGCTTGCCGATACTAGACTACTTGCCCTCTTGCCTTTTATACCTAACTTTGCAATTGTTAACAGCTCATCTTATATGCCTTTATTTGTACATTACTCGTTTTTTCACCATTCCATATTATAATTATCATTCAGGACTCCAAGAGTAAGGACTTTATAATATGGGGTGAAGAGTGTGGGGGCCTAAAGGGCCAGTCAAGTCGTATTTACAAAATTACTTTCACTATCTGCAGTTTGCCTGTGGTCGGTTAGAGATACGCTACACTCGCAACCAGACCTCTTCACACTGGTTATGATATAATTCAGAAATATCCCCGTTCATTGATCTGGATTGTTTGCTGCATTTTTACTCAAAATTGCAGCAAACAAAAATTAATATATTTATATAATATATACAATTTATGTCGGCTAGAGTATATCAGTATTTTGTGTGGTTTTGAGGGATGGAGGGGATTGGTCGAGGGTGAGGTCGTAAGAAGTGGGATCAAGGGGGTGGGACGGGGGTGGTAGAGGTGGGATCAAGGGGGTGGGACGGGGGTGGTAGAGGTGGGATCAAGGGGGTGGGACGGGGGGTGGTAGAGGTGTGGTGGGGGGTTTGGAATAGCGTATCTCATCCTTTTGTGTGTATTTATACCTCAAACATTTTTTAAATTTTGTGGTGGGGGCGAGGAGGGGGGGGGGTGAGGTGTTGAAAAGCGTACGCCTTTTTTGTTTATCGAATTGTAATTTGTATATACATGTTATACATGTAATTTGCAGATTATGATATTGATAAATCTACAACATCCCGAGAAAATTCCCATTCATTATGTCCTATCGCGAGCAAAACTGTACAACATAATCCAAGTAAGATACTACACTATAGTCAGTGAAGCTGTAAGCCAAAAGTTACTTTAATTATTAACCAACTGGTCTTACTGCGCACAATCATATTGCTATCATGGTTTACGTCTTTTAAGAATCAATACTCCCAAGTCCCTTTCTCGACCTGATTTACCAAGCTCTAGAGGAATAAGCTGTTATGGAGCACCGTTCCTCCTGCGCCTTGACAAGAGGCAGTCGTTGTGCAGTGAATGATCAACAACCCGTCCTCTTAAAAATAACGTCACTTTTGGCTCGTATGCGCGCTATGGCCAAATTTGGACGTAATTTGAAATGAAATCGACTCACTAAAGTGACGTTCTGTTCCGTTTTCTATTTGAGTCGTCCGGCTTACGCGCAGAGGTTATGAGAGGACTCTTTTAAATTAACGTTTTTCATAACGTTTTGAAACTTTATGAGAATTTCCTGCCCTCCTAACCTATCAGAGGACCCTTAACTTACTGTTGAAAAAAAAAAATCCGAAATTTATTTTCATTTTCAAATTACGTCCAAATTCGGCCATACGGGCAAACGGCCAAAAGCGACGTTCTTTTTAAGAGGACAGGTTGGATCAAAGCCGTAAAGATGCCTTCCAGGCATGTTGAGCCACACAAGTGCCCTGTCCCACCACCAACTGGAATCTCGGAAGTCACTTACCCTGAGCTGGAGCTCACCATCCTCCATCACCCGCACATACAAGCTCTACTTCTCGCTACACTTGTCACCCGCTCAACGACAGTGTAGCACGGCTGTTTCAGACGCAGTTACCCGCAATATACTAACAATTAAAAATTACACATGTGAAACGATCATTTATTTTACGGGGTCACTACCGAAACAATGTAAGTAAATGTCTACGTTATTCTTACCGAAAGTGTTTATTTTATTTATGTCTTGGCAAGTATAGTGTTAGGCAGTTATGAAACAGTTTCAACCCTTTTACCCTGTCGTAGCTCAGTCGATTAAGGCAGTGTCTGGGATGCTCCCGGACGCAGGTTCGAATCCTCGTCACGGCCCTTGTGGATTTGTTCAGTTATGAAAGGTTAATGTAATGAATCATGTTTCCAGTAATATATAGCATACAATACCCGGCAGCCTACCTAGTGCCTTCACGCTGCCTTCCTACTAAACGAGGTTAGATGATCTAATCTACCATCAAAGTACTACAAGCACCCCGTGCGCTTGTTTCGTGGCTAGTGCTGAAACATTAACATAGATTGTATTTGTACATGGCAAAGATTTAAGTTTTGTCGGAATAAGCTCAGATTTTCTCATTTACAACACTGAGTCACATGAAATAGTAAATACAGAGTGCTGCATATATAAAGTCCGATCTAACATGTAATAAGCGTACAATTTTATGCTTTACGTGAACGTAGGTCATACACGCGTGAACGTACGTCATACACGTGTGAACGTAGGCCATACACGTGTGAACGTAGGCCATACATGTATAACCCTTGGCTATACAGGTGTAAACTTGTAGTACACTGGGTACACACCTGTAAACCTCTGGTACTTAGCGTAACACGCAGCTTCGCGTGTAGCCGTCCGTCACGGTAAACATGTCACCTCATCATGCTTCCCGAACATATTTCACTTTCGTATCAAAGTAATTATTATAAGCAATATTGAAATTCTATATTGATCAAACAATATACAAAAATCTTATTATACAAGACCAACTATGAATGTGTAGATTAAACGAAATTTCCCACAAACCAATTTTACTGGATTCTCTGGCCAATAAAAAATTTAAGACTAATATAAGTATCATACTAAAAATGAATTATCCATATTATTAAATCTTGTGTTAGCAACACGCGATCTTGATACAAATTTTTGGTAACGTCGCATTAGATATTATGGCTTGTTACGTAATAAGGTCAAGATAGGCTGTGCATGGCCTCCACACCACTTGAAACACACACACAAACTTGCAAGTGCACACTAGCCAAATGTGACAAAATTGAAGCGTGTTTGGTATCCCAAAATAACCCAGCCAGGACAGCAGCCGAGCCCAGGAGACTCGCGCTCGATAATACAATACTGATCATATAACACACCAAGTGGGTCATTGATTACTACGGTAATTATGTGAGATTTTGTGGAACATATGAACGTGTGTAGATAGGATCTGCCTCGCTTGATCCAGCAGACCTACTGCGGTGTTCCTTTTGTTCTTGTAGTTTTTAAAAGGGACATTCTGGAAGAATTCTTCGTCCCTATCATCGTAACTCTTGAAAAGTAACAGATGTTGCAAGTAATTATAAGGCAGAGTATATTGAGCGGGTCTGAAGAGATCCGTCGACTACTGTCCGTGGGCCGGGCCGACACCGCTAACCCAAGCTGGCGAGCCACACCTCACAGCTTGCCAGCTGACCTGCCACACAAACCAGTGCAGTCACGGTGCCTCCCTAGCCTCACCTTGGCTTTCATATCCTGGGTTCATCACACACAACTTCATTCAAATCTGAAAATGAGAGATGATTGTGTGTTATTGACGTTATCATCAAAAACTTTGCACAGGAAGAACGACTGGACAATAGACAACGCATAAAATCTTAGGAATTCACGTACAGGTTATTTTCACCTAGAGCCTTTGGGAAAAAAACCCCTACTAAGATTAGAGCAGCTGTGGTGATACTTCTCCAGGTAAGTGAGGTGAGAGTAGGGACACAAGTGAGAGGAAAGCCTTAAAGGGGTGTGCATCACGTGATTGCTCGACTTGTTTACTTGCACGTGTCGCCTCAACGTTATTGATTGCCAGAGCAGACTCCCAGGCTGCGCACTCTAGTTCTCTCCAGAGCCGATCTCTCTATTGGCATCTCTGCATTCACACGAATTTGCATTTATTCGAGTATGACTCCATTGTTAATGAACGAGCTACTCAACAGCAGCTCTCATTAACAAGCCAATATGTTTGCATCTCTATAAATGTACTATTATATTACATATTATATATATATAATACATAATTATATATTATATATATAATATATAATTATATTATATATATATAATATATATAATATATAAAAAAGGCCATCTCGTCGATGGCCTTATGGACATAACAGATAAACATTCCAGTTGAATCCACTGCAGCTTCAACCAGTCCCGGCAGGACCTGTCAGTCTGTAGACAACACTAGCGAGAGGTCGTGGTGTAAAAGTTACCACACTTGTCCTACAACCAAGAAGACCAATCCAAATGTAAAGTAAATGATGCCAGATACCTGTTTTGAGTGCTTGGCCCAAATCCTATTCCAACCTTCAATATATTTATTCTAGCAATATATAACAAATGGCTATTGAGCAAAATGTTAAATTGAATGGTGTAGAATTCACGCTTATATTTTACAATATGGATACACCATGCAGGTGCTGCATATTTCTGCACTAGTCTGATGTGAGATACAGAGTCCTAAACAACTAGTTCAGATTCAGAAGTCTACAAGAAAAAGTTAAGAGTCTGGTAGTGAACTGTATTACCTACACCAAAGTATGCAGGTTAAATGTAAAATTTGGGTTCGCTACCAGCTCAGTGCCTCCAAACTTTTAACAGATCTCAGGTTATATAATCTTCAGCATATCGTGGTCCATGGGTTAACCTGGTACCTGGTTGATGGAGTTCTGGGAGTTCTACTCCCCAAACCCGGCCCGAGGCCAGACTTGACTTGAGAGTTTGGGCAACCAGGCTGTTGCTTGGAGCGGCCCGCAGGCCCACATACCCACCACAGCCCGGTTGGTCCGGCACTCCTTGAGGCACGGGTCTCGGGTTACCAAGGCCATTGGTTCGATCCCTTCATGATCCAATGATTTTCTCAGATATACCACGTTATTGTGATTTCGTTGTGTATTTCAAACCTACAATTTAGCAATCTTGCATATGCAGCTGATTATATCAGATTAGTGTGTGCTTCCAAAGGTAGGCCTGATTTCCACTTCAGGTCATGTTCTTAATCCGGGATTATCGTCATCCCACTTGGTATCCTGCAGCCACTTGTCTAATTACCTGCTCGATACGTGGTTGATGAGGTTCTTGGAGTTGTTCTACTCCCAAAGCCCGGCCAAATCCAGACTCGACTTGTGTGAACTTGGTCCAACAGGCTGTTGCTTGGAGCGGCCCGCAGGCTATTATTCTCGGAATTTGTCTAAGTCTTCCTGTATTTTTTTTGCACGCTTCCTCTGATGTATACCGTCAGTAAACACTAACAAGGAGTTTATCATTATGGAAAATAATTTAAATATCTGGATTGAGATTTGTCTTGTAACCGTCCACTGAAGGATCCCAAATATAACACCTATCTACCATGATTTACTGCTCAGAGCTGGGGGTTACCCAAAGACTGCACGTCAGTAAGTGTCATATTTTGTCAAGTCGAACACCAGGAAAGCAGCATTGGTTCCTCGATAGTAAATAGGCACCCTAGAGCGAACTCTTTCTTGTTCGGCTGTGTCCCACACCTGCATCTTGACCTCACTTCCAGACCTGTTTCACGGTGTCACCTCACCTCCAGACCTGTTTCACGGTGTCACCTCACCTCCAGACCTGTTTCACGGTCACCTCACTTCCAGACCTTTCATTGTGCCACTTCCAGACCTGTTCCATAGTGTCACCTCAATTCCAGACCTGTTCCATAGTGTCACCTCAATTCCAGACCTGTTTCATTGTGCCACTTCCAGATCTGTTCCATGGGGTCACCTCACTTCCAGACCTGTTCCATAGTGTCACCTCACTTCCAGATCTGTTCCATGGTGTCGCCTCACTTCCAGACCTGTTTCATTGTGTCACTTCACTCCCAGACCTGTTCCATTGTCACTTCACCTCCAGACCTGTTTCAGTGTCACCCCCTCCAGACCTGATCCACGGTCGCCTCGCATCTGGTTCTACTCCATGGTTGAATTCCACTGGGCTTGTGGCCCACCTTCCTTATTATTAAATATTTTTCTACTGGCCCACCATCACGATTTAAGGTTCATTTGGCTCTCCCCATGGTAAAATATTCCATTTTCTTGCCCTCCCATGGTAAAATATTCCATTTTCTTGCCCTCCCATGGTAAAATATTCCATTTTCTTGCCCTCCCATGGTAAAATATTCCATTTTCTAGCCCTCCCATGGTAAAATATTCCATTTTCTTGCCCTTCCCATGGTAAAATATTCCATTTTCTTGCCCTTCCCATGGTAAAATATTCCATTTTCTTGCCCTCCCATGGTAAAATATTCCATTTTCTTGCCCTTCCCATGGTAAAATATTCCATTTTCTTGCCCTTCCCATGGTAAAATATTCCATTTTCTTGCCCTCCCATGGTAAAATATTCCATTTTCTTGCCCTTCCCATGGTAAAATATTCCATTTTCTTGCCCTTCCCATGGTAAAATATTCCATTTTCTTGCCCTTCCCATGGTAAAATATTCCATTTTCTTGCCCTCCCCATGGTAAAATATTACATTTTCTTGCCCTTCCCATGGTAAAATATTCCATTTTCTTGCCCTTCCCATGGTAAAATATTCCATTTTCTTGCCCTTCCCATGGTAAAATATTCCATTTTCTTGCCCTTCCCATGGTAAAATATTCCATTTTCTTGCCCTTCCCATGGTAAAATATTCCATTTTCTTGCCCTCCCCATGGTAAAATATTACATTTTCTTGCCCTTCCCATGGTAAAATATTCCATTTTCTTGCCCTTCCCATGGTAAAATATTCCATTTTCTTGCCCTTCCCATGGTAAAATATTCCATTTTCTTGCCCTTCCCATGGTAAAATATTCCATTTTCTTGCCCTTCCCATGGTAAAATATTCCATTTTCTTGCCCTTCCCATGGTAAAATATTACATTTTCTTGCCCTCCCCATGGTAAAATATTCCATTTTCTTGCCCTCCCCATGGTAAAATATTACATTTTCTTGCCCTTCCCATGGTAAAATATTACATTTTCTTGCCCTCCCCATGGTAAAATATTCCATTTTCTTGCCCTCCCCATGGTAAAATATTACATTTTCTTGCCCTTCCCATGGTAAAATATTACATTTTCTTGCCCTTCCCATGGCAAAATATTCCTCATTTACTCCTTCAAGTTTTAAAGTACAGTACTGGCGCTGGTGGTGGTGGTTCCAAGAATCGCCGCCTCCGCCGCCCATGGTCAAATGTTCCCCTGCTGGGCCTCCATAAGGAGGTATGACAGCTGGTGGCCCAAGAGCCTCGAATTACTTCATAAAAACCCAGCCCCACAGTTCATAATTCCCAGATGAAATACCGACCAGAAATCCCTCCCCAATAACTGAAAAATGGCGCGCGCACACAATTAGGTAAGTACACACGAGCCAGAGCTCAACCCCCACAAGCACAATTAGGTAAGTACAGTTAGTGGCACACTCTATGGTGTATTACAGGTCACTGGAAACAGACCTACCAGAAAGTTGGAAGACAGCTAACGTAGTCCCAATATACAAAAAGGGTGACAGGCAAGAGGCGCTGAACTCCAGGCCAATTTCCTTAACTTGTATACCATGCAAGGTGATGGAGAAGATCGTGAGAAAAAGGCTCGTAGAGCATCTGGAGGGAAATAGCTTTGTAACACACCACCAGTATGGGTTCAGAGATGGTAAATCGTGCCTCACAGGGTTAATAAGTTCTATGACCAAGCAACAAAAATTAGGCAAGAAAGAGAAGGGTGGGCAGACTGCATTTTCTTGGAACTGTCAGAAAGCTTTTGACACAGTACCCCATAAAAGGCTGTTAAAAAAGTTGGAGCAACAGGCAGGAGTAAAAGATAAGGTACTCCAGTGGATAATGGAGTATCTAAGCAACAGGAAACAGCGAGTAACTGTGAGGGGGAGACATCAGAGTGGCGAGATGTCGCCAGCGGAGTCCCACAGGGCTCTGTACTTGGACCCATCCTGTTTCTAATATGTAAACGATCTTAGAAAGGGTATAGAATCATTCCTCTCAATGTTTGCTGATGATGCAAAAAATATGAGAAGAATCAAGACATGAAAATAGACAGAGACTACAGGACGACCTGGACAGGCTGGAGGAATGGTCTAGAAAATGGCTACTAAAGTTCAACTCAGCAAAGTGCAAGGTAATGAAATTAGGCGAAGGGAGCCGAAGGCTGAACACAAGGTACTATCTGGGAGGTGAAATCCTGCAAGAGTCAACTAGAGAGAAAGATCTGGGGGTTGATATCACACCGAACCTGTCCCCAGAGGCCCACATCAAAAGGATATCATCAGCGACCTATGCTAGACTGGCCAACATAAGAACTGCCTTTAGAAATCTGTACACCAGTTGATTGACAGTTGAGAGGCAGGACCAAAGAGCCAAAGCTCAACCCCTGCAAGCACAAATAGGTGAGTACTCACACACAGCTAGGTAAACAGGGGCATCAGGGTGAAAAACTGTGCTCATTGGTTTCAGCCTAAGCCGGGGATCGAACCCGGACATTAGGACTACGAATCCCGAGCGCTGTCCA